AAAAGTTTGCAAAAATGCATTTCTCTACGGAAGCCCCTGGAAGGAAGTGATTAAGCTGATGTGGAAGGGAAACCATACTGAACAAGTGTAAGAAGTTATAATAGAGTCAACGGCACGCAGGGGATCTACAAGGTGCCATAGTCTCGACTCTATCCTAGCTGCCTTCTGGTTTCTTGCACCGGATAGAGAAAACGTTGATGGTCCCTCACCTGTATTTTGTACACTGTGGACTATTTTCAGGAAATTTTAAACTACAAGGAAATTTTCTCTACCACCCCAAATATTTTCAAGATGCTTCTTCTTGCTCTAACTTTACATATGTGCAGAAAAATACAAATTAATTTTTGTTAGCAGTGAAGAAAAATATAATTAACAAAAAACAGAATAGACAAAACATTGTTTTCTGTGTCCCATCTCATATGGCATGCCAAAGCCAAATGTGAATTACTAAGTTATTCTTTTTTTGTGTCTTGGAACTTGTGTGTATCAGCACATAGCGATCACTTTAATTTTTTTTCAAGTTTATTTATTTATTTAAAGTCATCTCTTAAAGTGGGGCTCAAACTCACAACCCTGAGATGAAGAGTCGCATGCTCTTCCAAATGAGCCAGCCACATTATTCTGGTTATTTGTGTGGCTAATTGATAGCTTATTATAAATACCTCTCCACTTCTATATTCAGAAGGGTTACTCATACAAAATGAGAAAATAATTGGTAACACTGAAGTTGATATATAGGAAAGAGAACTTTTAGATTCTCCTTCAGGAATATCAGGATCCACAATACAGAGGAGATAGATCAAGGACTCTAATTAACATGTTTTTATAACAGAGTACGGAATTTTCTATTGTTCTCAAACCTACCACAACAATCACAACATCCAGACAATTCCAGAAACTTCTGAAATAGTGTAGCTTGTGAATGCGAATTTCCAGTATCTCTTCCACCACATAGTAAAAGATAAAAAAACAAAAGATAATCTCACAGGCTGCCAGGAAGAAATCAAAAGTCGTGACATAGCGGATCAGCTTTACAGGCTGAAATTGCCAAGATGGAATCACACCGCCTGTTGCTGGAAATTCAACCAATAACCTGCATTACAATAAGAACAGTTAAAACAGTAACAACAACAACAACAACAACAACAACAACAACAACAACACATGGATGCAGCCAGGAAAGGACATCCATCTACTCTGTCCCTGTACTAACAGGTCCTAAAATTGTAACCACAAGTCACCTCAAACTAGTGGCAGAATATTTTTGATCACAGCTAATAGCTGTGTTCTTGTACAATTCTGTGCCCCCAAAGGAACAAGGCTCCCCAAGTCCTCCTAAAGAGATTATTTCTCCTCAGTTTCCCCTTTACTTTTCTGTTACTTATACTGCTCAAAATGCTCTATAGTTCTTTTTTTTTAATGTGGAAGTTAATCAACAAAGAAGCCTTTCTAGGACTCCTATTAAATACAAGTAATCCTAGTAGGCATGAAGAACATAAGAAATATAACTCATGCATTCAAACATGTATGGCCTGTTGAGAAATAGGATGTGTGTGTGTGTGTGTGTGTGTGTGTATATACACAGACTGAGCTTCTCATTCATTCACTTGGTAACACCTAACTGGCACTGAGTAAGTTGTTCTGGGGACTATTCTTGCTTCCCTTCCCAGAGCCTTATAGTTAATAGGTGCTCAGTAATGTCTGATAGTCTAAAACAGTAACGCGGATTTTTTTTTACATTCATACTGATGGCACCGAGTCTTAGTGCTTTAGCATATTTGAAGTGAGGATGTTTCTTGCCAACTTCCCATTTTATAGGTGTCACACTGAGAGAGTTAAATCATTCACTTAATGGTGCAGTTCCCCTATCAAAGTAGAAATAGAATATCTACCTCCTTAATGTTAAGATTCTGAAAAGACCTTTAGTTAACTACCAGGTGTAACCTTCTCTTCCGTTACAGGATGGGTAGCCACACCCAGAGCCTGAGTATCTAAGACTCAAGCATGAGCAATAATCAGGTCCAGGCAGAGACAATGGTAAATTAGAACTGGTCAAAGAAGTATGAAAATTTTTCCTTCCTCTTCACTGTCAATCACTGTTTTTTTGTTTTTTTTTCTCATTTGATGTGTTGGAGACCAGGGCAATAAACAAAAACCTGGGAGAGCAATACAGAAACAGCGAGCCTCGTGATAGCCTCAGTGTAAATGTGGAAGGCAGAAAGTAGCTTGTGTGTGTGAAGTAATCTCTTTTTGTCCTGTTCTGGCCCTGCATCTGTTAACTTCTCCAGAAACGTAGGCAGCAACATACAGAAAAGAAGTAATTGCCTTGACAATATTCACTCTTAAAGTATGGGAAGGAAGTGAAAGACATACTCAAGACCTTCTATAAATAGGTATTTCCTTAAATGTCAATCAGAGTTGACTGCCTGAGTTGACTGTTTTTATCCTCTTTCTATTTGCCCTGAAATCATTAGGAAAAGTTCAATAATAATTGCAATCATTATTCAATCATTTCTAGTAATAGCTGTCATTTGACTTAATGTGACATCATTTCCTGTGAAAGTTGTTAAATAAGTAGTCTGGGAAAATCCAACTGGCCTTGTAAAGCAGATTTGAGTTTAGCCTCAAAAATGATCACAAAATAAGGATGAGAATTTATGCTTCTTATTTGGTAGGTAGATATATGTGAAAGTAAGTCATGTCAGTGATGTCTGGGTGTTGCTGACACATTCACCAGGAGGATTAAAGTGGGTGAACTCTGACTCTCCCTTGCCTTGTTCTGCTTTTTTCTTTTTTTATAGCACATATTACCTTCTAACCTACTCTTTGTTTCTTTTGCTTATTGTTTCTTGTCTATTATCTATCTCCTCCTGGTTTAACACAAGCTCTGCTAGAGCAGCTATCTTTATTTTGTTCACTGATGTGGCCCAAGTGCTGAGAACAGTACCTGACACATATTAAGTGTCCAATAAATGTTTGCTGAATAAGTGGATGAATGAACAATAGGCCCCAGACAAGCCAGTAGGTCTTTGTTAGTTTCCTCACTGCTAACCAATGTGATTGTGATGGCAATGTCACAGGATCTGGAGAAGGAATTTTATGTGCCTTTGGTGAATCTCAGTGTTGGCAGGTACCTGGGTATCCTACCGAACCTAGGCATACCCCCTGACTACTGTGCTTGTGTTCTGATAGCATGGGCATCATTTGAGAGTGGGAAGCTCAGGGAAACAAGTCACTGTTTGATGGCCAGAGGCCATGGTAACAGAGCATATAGCATTGATCATTATTATAATGAGTAAAAAGAGATGTTAGCAAAACATAGTGGTTTTTTTCTGAGAAGATTCCAGCTTTGGGATAAACCTGGACCAGTCTTAAGGTTCTTTCCAACTCATAATATTCTAGGATTCTAGTTCCCTTTCCCCAAATATATTTATCCCACTGAGCCTTTGGTTTTCACCCTTCCCTTGCTGTCAGCTCTGATCTTTGGCAGTCCTTCAGCCAGCCGCAGGCAATTGTCTCCTGGTCTATCTCAAGACTAGGATGTACATACAAAGACACTGAGGTGGGAGGGACCAGAGCCCTTGGTACACACCTGATCACACAGAACAGGTTAATGTTGGCGTTGTATACTGAAAAGTCAATAAAAGTTGCCCTGGTTCCTCGGTCCAGCCAGACATTGTTCTTGAGGCTAGCGACCTGAGCGGCTGTCTCCTCTCTTGTTCTTGACAAATCCAGGTAATAGCCAGCTCCACTATAGGTTGCAATCATTCCCCAGTGGCTACTCCCATTCAAGTCTTCTTCACTTGTATATATCCAACTAATTAAAACATGAAATGAAAACAAAACAAACAGATAAAATCAGTGGAACACTTGTGGCATTTATAAAGATAGTTGGTTCCTGGTGAGATAGAGTATGTAATAAATAACTGTCTTATCAAGCTGGGTAATGTGCTTGGAGTAGTGCTTCATAAATGTCTTTCTTTCTTTCTTTCTTTCTTCCTTTCTTTCTTTCTTTCTTTCTTTCTTTCTTTCTTTCTTTCTTTCTTCTTTCTTTCTCTTTTTTAGAGAGAGCACAAGCAGGGGAGGAGCAGAGAGATAGAGAGAAGAGAGACACAGAGAGAGAGGATCCCAAGCAGGCTCTTCACTGTCAGTACAGAGCCCAATGTGAGGCTTGAACTCACAAACCAAGAGATCATGACTTTGAGCCGAAACCAAGAGTTGGACACTTAACTGACTGAGCCACCCAGGTGCCCCTAATTTTCTTTTTAAGTTTATTTATTTATTTTGAGAGAGAGATAGTATGTGAGCAGCAGAGGGAGAGAGAGAGAATTCCAAGTAGGCCCTACACTGACAGCACAGAGCCAGATGTAGGGCTTGAGCTCACGAACTATGAGATCATGACCTGATGATCCAATCCCTTTACACTAAATCTAGCCAAAACCTAGAACCAGAGGCCTAACCAACTTAGCCACCCAGGCACCCCCTTATTTAATTCTTATACACTTATTATCCCCCTTTTAGGTATGAGGGTCCTGAAGCTTAGTGAGGTCAATTCAATCTCGATGCTTTTGAAGGTATTGTCAGGAGCCTACACCGGGACTGTCTCTAGAACCTGTGCTATTCGCCCTTAGCTGCCTTCCCTGGGTAACTATACTCAGGGGCTAGATGACTCTAGGCTCCCAGAGAAAACTGCAGCCAAGAGGTACAAGTTCATCAAGTACCACTGTTGGCAACTGAACTAAACAAGACTCCACAGGGCATTTGGGTGTTTAATCCACAAGTATTGAGAGAGGCTCTCTTAGGAACCAGAGGCTTCTTTCGCATTAACAGGGATATAAAGATGGACCAAGTTCCTTTCCCTCTCACATTTATAGTAAGTAGGAAGATAAAAGTTGTAATTAAACAATTAAAATACAAGGTAGATGGATGATAAATCCAACAGAGAAGTATAGAGAAATTGCTCTGGCAGATCCTTGTCTGGGGTCCGGCGACAGCAAAGGTGCATAGAGAAAGCTTTGGGAAGAAGCTGTAGCAGACCTGGGCTGTGAAAGATAAGTAGGATTCAGGCAGGCTTAAGTGGATGAGAAGGGCATTTTCTTTTCTTTTCTTTTTTTTTTTTAACGTTTATTTATTTTTGGGACAGAGAGAGACAGAGCATGAACGGGGGCGGGGCAGAGAGAGAGGGAGACACAGAATCAGAAACAGGCTCCAGGCTCTGAGCCAACAGCCCAGAGCCTGACGCAGGGCTCGAACTCACGGACCGCGAGATCGTGACCTGACTGAAGTCGGACGTTTAACCGACTGCGCCATCCAGGCGCCCCAGAAGGGCATTTTCAAGCCCGAGCCAGGTGAGGCCGGAGAAGTACAAGGCATCCAGCTGGTAGTTGAGTTCAGCTCCCATATGATGAAGAAAGAAACGCTGAAAGGTAGACTGTGATCAGATTGTGAAGAGCAAGCACGAAGGAGTCACTGAGGAAAGGTTTCTGAGAGGCACTGAACGGAGTTCCTCTGGTGGCTGCAGGAAAGACTGGAGTGGTGAGGAATAGACAGCTCATGTGCAGAAAAGTTGCCATAGCAGGTCTGAGATGGCCCTTTATTAGGAAGGCCTGCTTGAAAGGTTGGGCCTTGGCTGTTCTGAACCTTGACTAATAAACAGCTCCCTATATTGACATAAAACTTTAATACATAAGAGTGGCTAACTGTGCCTAGCCTGTCTGTACAAACACAGTGGCTTATGCTTAACACCTTCTTTCCTCCTAGGAGTCTGGGATTTGGGTACATGCCAGACAATGGCTGCCTATGTGACCAGGAGCCAATAAATACCTCAGGCAGTGAGTCTCTAATGAACCTCTCTGACAGATATTGTTAGGACTCGTTACCGGAGGAATTCGGCATGTCCTATGTGACTCCACCAGGAGAGGACTTTTGGAAGCTTGCACTTTGTTTCCTCCAGATTTTGCCCCACATGCCTGTACCTTCTTCTGCTTTTACTTTTATCCTTTCACTGCATTAAACCTTAGCCACAAACATGACTAGATGATAAATCCTGTGAATCCTTCCAAAAAATCCCTGAACCAGGGTGTGGGCCTGGGGGACCTAACACAGCTCAGTTAGCAGTCCCTGCAATAGGCCAGACATGATGAGGCCTGAGCCAGATCAGTGACAGGAAGATAGGAAGACAGACAGGAAGGACAGAGATAGGACACTGCAGTGACCATCAGAAGAACTTGGCCTCTGATTTGGAAGTTGGGGCAAGGGAGAAGTGACATCTGAAAAATGATTGGAGACTCTTTGAATAATGCAAAGGAGAACAGACCCGATAAGAAAGTGAGGAATTCAGTTTGGTCAGACTGAATTATAGGAGCTGGTGGGACATTGGTGGGATATAGTGTTATTTTTTGTTTTCTGTCACTAGAACACAGGCTCTGTGAAGACAGGGGATTTGTTTCTGTTTTGTTTCTTGCTGTTTTGTTGCCCTAGCCAGCACCAAGGGCGTTTCTAGAAAAAAGAGACCTCACTGGGAAAATGCCTGGCACAAGTAAACGCTCGGTACATTTGATGAAGAAATGATAAATTATCAAATAGGGATGAGCGAGGAAGTCAACTGAGTGTCAAGGGAAAAAATGTACAGAAAGAAAAGATCTGAATATAGAATGAACATAGGAATAAGACAGAAGTGGGAGGGGTTAAGAGGAGGATTACAGAATGAAGGGAACTCAAGCATCACTCTCAGAAGTCACAAGAACGAGCAATCAACACTGCCAAGTTCTGCAGAGATGCCAAATGGGATGTACATCAAGAATGGGTCAGTGGGTTGGCAAACTCAATAAATCCACTGGTGACTTCCAAGAGAGATGTCCAAAGCACAGGTTTAAGCTTTAAGGGGTGAATCAATGGTAAGGAAATGGACGTGGCGAGTGAAGGCTATTCTTGCCGGAAGTTTGGAGTTCAAGGGAAGGAGGAATGGGAGTAATTTGAGAATAGGGCAGAATCAAGGGGTGGTTTAGACACATGGCAGTCCATCCATGGTGGATGGAAATCACCCACTCACCCATGCCTCCAGCAGACATTTACTGAGTAGCTTGAGACAGCAGGCAGTGCTCAAGGCTTTGAGAATACAGCAGTGAACAAAATACAGTCCCCACCCTCAAGAAGCAGGAGTGCTGATAAGGAGCTGATGGTGGCAAGGAGCCACCCTAACAGTGTAATTAATAGAGAAGAAGCAATGTGGTTTAGAAGAAACATGGGTTTTGGAGTCAAACTGGTTTAAGTGCTGTGACACTTTGGGTAAGTGAGCTTCAGTTTTTTCATCTACAGAACGGAGATGACACCTATTTTCAGAGTTGTTTTGTGAAAAGCAGATGAGATAATGCATGAAATCCCTTCTTAAGTAGCATCTGGTAGTGGCTGTATCCATTTCTCTCACTAATGATATGAAATTGAGTAAAATATTAGATAAGGTACCATAGTTTAAGGGCAGGAACTAGAAAAAGGAGCAGTAGACAAAATCATTACCAAACCTGGAAGAAATGTCTTTGGGATGATTCAATCCCTTTATGCTAAATCTTCTGACATTTACCTAGTTTGTTCCTTATGGACCCTGGGACTAAATAAAATATGCATCGGATGATAAACAAAGAATCTGATCATTGGAGAGCTATTTGCCCCCACTGTATAATTGACAAATCTGGAGTGTGGGTGTCTCATTTCCCAAGAAAGGGATCTAGGGGAACTGACAGAATTAGGTTAGAAAAGTTTAGAAGACACTTCTAACCATAATGACTCACTCAGGGGCAGTGACCCTAAGAGGGCCACCTTGGGACCGCTTGAGAGCTCTTCTTAAATCTTTATAGTAACTACTGTAATTCTAAAAGTAATGACTATCCTCCCTTAATACACAAGATATTTTAAGTATGGTTACAAAAGAATACCAAAAATCCCTGCAAATACCCACAATGACAATACATACTCAACATCATAAACACATCTTTGAGAGGACAGGCTTTAAACCAGACAAAAAACTGCCTCCCAAGTTTATTAGACACTTTAAATAACTGTACTATGAACAAAGATATATTTGTAAATTCTAGTAAGATGAGAATTTCTCTACCAGAATAATTTCCAGTAATAACCTAGTGAATTATATCAATGGATCTAGAAAAACAGGAACGAGTCATCTTAAAAGAAACCACCAAAGGCCCAGATAGCCTCTTTCTTGTGGGCCATGTGTCAACAATTTAGCCTGTTGAAAAATTTGTGTGCAGAAATTGAAGGGGGTAAAAAGTAGAGAAAACCTGAGAAACCAAAAGTCAATTTGGCTATCGCCTCAACTGTAAGCACTGAAGGCTCACTTAAAGCATCTTCTCCTTGGTTGGGGTTAGAGAACAAATGATGAATGAATGAATGAATGAATGAATGTCAGTGAGAGGCAAGGATGCATGGCGACGGGGCACAGACACTTACGCTGTTCCATTTCTTGGACCGAATGGAGCCCTGTCTTCACTACTGACAGAGTAGACATCATAGCACTCTTTAATCTCATCTCTCAAGTCCTGGGGGATAGAACAGGACCCGTTCCTGACTTTGAGCTGCCGTATACGTGGTACGCCTAATAGGAGGTTCTCGTAGTAGATGAAGCTTCGGTTGTCGGCGTCAGTATTGTTGCTGGGTTGTGTCTTCCAGTAAAGCCCATCCAATAAGGCACCTTCTGTGAACTGAAAGTGAAGGAAACATTGAAAAAAAATTTTTTTAACGTTTATTTATTTTTGAGAGAGAGAGGGACAGAGACAGAGAATGTGGTGGTGGGGGGTGGTGGCGCAGAGAGAGAGGGAGACACAGAATCCAAAGGAGGCTCCAGGCTCTGAGCTGTCAGCACAGAGCCCAGTGAGAGGCTTGAACTCACGGACCATGAGATCATGACCTGAGCCAAAGTTGGATGCTCAACAGACCGAGCCACCCAGGTGGCTTCACCCCGTGAAGGAAACATTTTTGAAAAGTTTTTTGAAAAGCTCCAAGCTTAGCGGCTTGCATTGCACTTTCCTGGAATGTTTGCATGACCAACAGTTTGGCAACTCTGTGAACATGGTAGCATGACAAGAGCGGGTCTCTCTGTCAGAAAGATTAGGGTTGGATCTTGCTCCCCTGCTTACTAGCTGTGAGGCCTTGAGCAGGATCCAACTTCGAGCCAAGGTTCCTGCATCTATAATACTCATTAAAAAATATATATATCCATTTTTTTATATGGTTGCTACCCTTGGTGCCTAGGACTAAAGGTGGGGGGTGTGCTTTACATAAATCCATAAAATGTGATCATTTTACTTTTCCCTTATTAAAATAACATCCCACATAACCATGGTTCCAAACTTGCTTGGAGAGGAAAAGACTACAGTTTTGATTACCAGTCTGCCATCTGGTGGATCTTTTAAGTGTCTGGACTATTTTGTCATATTGTGAACTCTAACTGCCCCTGCCCCTGCTTTACCATGGAATTGTGTATATGTGAGAAGTCTCTCATTAGTGTGCCTGTAGGGAAGAAGAAGCTGTTTCTCAGTGTCTTACCCTTATCAATCAACAGAGATGGATTGCTTTGCTCTGTTGAGGTGGGGAGAGATTCATATTATACAAGAGTCGTTTTGGATGCCAAGTATTTGGATGCCAAGATGTGTAATACACTCTAATTCCTGATGCCTAACTAGGCATCAATATTAATGGGTCCACGTGGTCCAGTTTCCTCTATCTTTACAACCACCAGCTCTGACCCCAGCATTTAATAAAGATTTTAGAAAGCATCTCTGCAGGAAGAAACAATTGTTTCCTTTCTAATTTCCCTTCCAATTTTCCTAGGTTCTGAGCACCATACCTCCCAGATCAGTTTAACATTTTTCCTATGGTATCACTCATAGCTTATCCTCTGCTACTATGTTGGATCTTCTGCAATTTGGGAAGGCTGGATTGAGTTTCACATTAGAGATCTCTGAAAGAAAGTGCCTGCCTTATATCAGGTGCTGTTCTAGAGTACATGCCATCATAAACAAGGAGACAAAAGACAAAACAAAAACAAACAAAAAAGCAAGACTAAATAACCAAATTTTGCCCTTATTAGGCTGTATATCTAGGAGAAACTCAACAGATATTTATTGAATCAAGAATGGATGAATGAATTATAGACTAGGGTGAAGAAGTTCCTGTCAGGCTAGAAAAAAAAGTCCAGTTTTCATACTCCCTAGCCATGTGTAAGTATGCTGAGTCTTAGTCTCCTCATCTACCACCCGGGGCACAACATTAGCATTTACCTTGTGTGGTTACTATGGCACTAAAGAAGGTAAAGTATGAAACACTCAACATGCTGCAAGAAACATACAAGATTCTCAACTGGACCATAACTTCCAACAACTCACCATAACCTACATCTCACTCGGTGTTAGGCACACAGTGGGTCCTATATATACTGGTGAATTAATTTATGAAGCCAAATGAATAATTTTCAGTGATAAAGAGGTACTTTGAAAGTCATTTACAAAAACAAAACAAAACAAAACAAAACAAAAATAGAAAAGTCATTTGTAAATACCTTCCAGAAGTCTTCCATTGAAGAAAGAGTTTTAAAGTTTGTTTTCTCTGTTTTGGACACTGGGGTGTCCAAGAAGAGTTGTGACATTATCCGGGTGTAGTAGTACACACTGGAACTCATCATCCCATAGGTCACTGGAACACAGAAAGAGCCACATAAACCCTGTGAGGGAACCCACACACTTACCAGTACACTCCCACTGAATGGGTAGGTATCCACAAACAGTCTGCTCTGTCCCTTGCCTTCCTTCTCTTCACCATTCTTCTAGGATCTCTCCCTAGCTCTCAAGCCTATAAAAGAAATAAATTAACATTGGCTTATGTGAAACAAAACTGGCTTACTAAAGAGCATTAAGTTAAGATCAAGTGCCTTTACTTGACATCTGGGACATGGCTATTCAACTTCATCTCCCCCTCCCCACCTAGATCAGCCCCTCAACACAGGGAGGCTGATCTGCATGGGTTCCTACTGAAGCCATGCTGAGTGTCTCGTCCTGAGGCTGTGCATATGCTGTTATTCTCTCTACAATAAAACGGGCAGGCGATTCTCTGTTCTACATCAATTCTCCACCCTTCTCTGCTCTGCATACTGTGGCTGACCTCGACAGATGGTACCACATAGGCTCCCGTGACCTTTGACATCCCATGCATTTGGCCCATAGGGGGCGGAACAGGAAATGGGGGGGGGGGCTGAGGAAAAAGAGATTGGGTTTGTTTCCTCCACCCCTCCTCCATTCCCTCACCACCTGGATGCACTTTGGCAGGGGACCCTCTAACCTTGGCCATAGTTGCTGGGGGAATCTCTCCTCCCACAGCCATACTGGGTTCATGCCATGCCACTCCCTCCCCTTGTCCCTTCAGGCCTGGAGGTGGTAACTGTTCTGAAGGCCTCACTCCCCTTGTTGGTTCCCATAACCCTGCCCCACCTTTGGACATAGGGCCTTCATTAAACGTTCTTTAATTACCACTTTGAGTTTTCTATCCCTTTTCTGGCAGGATGCTAGCACAGACACATCTTCCTCCCATCTACCTATCAAATCTTGTATGGAACCCTCTAAACTCAAGCTATACTCCTTCCATAAAGATTTTCTGATTATATCAGCTCATTCTGAATGGTCCTAGAGGGAGGTAGGAAGATAACTTACAGGTTATCCCTGTAATCCCTTCACTAAAAGGGGGATTAAGTGCTATTTAATAAAATCTCTTCCTCATATAGTTCGCTTCTCCACCTGAGCAGCATAGATAATTAAGATTATTTAAAAAGAGGAGCAGATAATAGTGATTCAAACATAAGTGTGTTTTAGAGTCCACCTCGAGCAGTCAGTGGATCAGTAAATACATACAATCATGTGGCGTATCTATTTTATCTGGAGGGAAAGGAATGTTTTCCAGTCCCCTTAGTTTTAGGCTCCCTCACCTGTCCTCCTGCAACCCACAAATTAGGGTAAGAACATTCCTCTTCAAGTGCTCCATGACTTGCCACCTCTCAAAACTGTACTGGGCCACAGTTAAGGGTTTAGACTTTTAATCCATTCATATTTATGGGACAGAGTGCTTATGAAGATAAGCAAGGTGTGATCTCTGTCCTCAAGAAGAGAAGCTAATAGGTATCCCTGGGAAGAGCATTGTCCAGCCAGCTCCCATAGAGGGATGGACAGGGTACAATAAACTCTACAGAAGCTTTCTGTGGATCCAGAGACAGCTGAGGGAACAAAGCTGATATGATGCTAAAGAAAAGAAGTGAAGGATCCCTGAAGCTGAATAAAAAATTATTAAGTTGATTTTTTCAGTTAACTTGAAATTTGAATTTGCTTTGGATTGACTGATTAATATAGATCATTCTCAAATTTTTTACCTGTGGGTTTTATTGTTTAAAAAGATTTATGACAGATGATTTAAATATTTTGATGTATAAATATGCAATAGTTCTCTATGTATATAAATGTGAGTATTTTAGCCACTGATTAAACATTGTAGCTCTCTTACTTTCCTATATTTTTAATATCGATTGCTTTTGAAATTCTCAGGACCTGTATGAAATTTCACGCTTCACTAAAAGGGAAGTGATGCGTCCCCTTGACTATTTAGCACCATCTGTCAGACATCTAGAGAAACAATGCCATCTAGCTTTGAAGGGATGATTATTCTAACACATTGAATCAGCGAATATTAAACTCAGTTCCTCCCTTGTACCAGGCCCTGGGATAAGCCATGGGATATCTTTTTTATTTTTTAATTTTTTTTGAGAGAGAGAGAGAGAGAGAGAGAGAGAGAGAGAGAGAGAGAGAAAAGACAGAGACAGAGAGCACCTACAAGTATGTGCCCACAAGTGGGAGTGGGGCCAGAGGGAGATGGAGAGAAACTCAAGCAGGCTCCACCCTCAACACAGAGCCCAATGCAGGGCTCCATCTTACAACCCTGAGATCATGACCAGAGCTGAAATCAAGAGTCAGATGCTTAACCAACTAAGCCACCCAGGCACCCTCTCCATGGGATATCTCTGAGAGACAGCTTCATACACTCCAGGAGTCAGCTGTACCATGAGTCCATATTAGGAAAAGTTCTGTGTTAGGGAGCAAGAAGTACTAGCAAACAAGACAGAGAGTGAAAATGCGCAAAGCTGTCAACATTTTGTAAGAGCACCTATGTGGCATCTCTGAGATGTGCCTAAGAGCATCCCTTTCACCCTCTCTGTGCTGAGGGAGACAGGTGCATAAACCAGTCTGGCAATCCAAGGTGAGGATTGCAGTGAAAGAGGTGGGCCTGGACTTCAGCACAGCTCAGGGAGGTGGGATAGTTGATAAAGGCTTCTCACTGAATCTGCCTCTTGAGCTGATCTTGAGGGATGAGGAAGAACTGAACAGACCAAGAAGGTGACAGCCTAGGTCAAGGCCTTTTTGAGACTCACAGTGGTGTGGTGTGGTTGAAGTAACAGAAGTCATAGGGAGTGGCAGGTCCGAAGAAGGTAAGCAAAGACTGTATAATGTCTTTATTATGTAAAGATTTTAAACTTTATCTTGAAACTGAGGGATTATAGCATGTTAAATGGAAGAGTGACCTGGGTTAATCTGGTTTCAGAGACAGTAATCTGGAGCAGTGCCTGGGAGTCCTAAAAGTCCAGATATTAGATACTAAACAATGTTGTCTAAGGTCACTGAGTCATCTTAAAACTTAAATAAATCTTGTCACTTCTCTACTTAAAAAACCCAGCTTTCCACTGTAAACCCCTTACAAAGCCTACCAGACCTATAGGGTCTGGCCCCTGACCACCTTTCCATCCTTATCTGATAGTACTCTCTTTAGTAACTGTCTTCAGTTTCTGGAATGTTCTGAGCTTTTCCTGCCTCAGAACCTTCACTCATAAAGTTCTCTCTGCATCTGACTGGCTCCCACTCTTAATTTAGGTCCCAGAGAGGCCTTGTCTGTAGGGGAATCCTCCTCCCCGATTGTCTTGTTTCATATTACTTCTGCATTTAAGGGAAGGGCCTAAATCTGTTTTTAACTATTTTTTTTTAATTTTTTTTTCAACGTTTATTTATTTTTGGGACAGAGAGAGACAGAGCATGAACAGGGGAGGGGCAGAGAGAGAGGGAGACACAGAATCCGAAACAGGCTCCAGGCTCTGAGCCATCAGCCCAGAGCCTGACGCGGGGCTCGAACTCATGGACCGCGAGATCGTGACCTGGCTGAAGTCGGACGCTTAACCGACTGCGCCACCCAGGCGCCCCAATCTGTTTTTAATTAAATTCCTGAACAGTTGACTGAATGAATAAATGAATAATCCAGGACAGAGATGATAAAGGTTAAAATAGGAACAACAGTGATGTATGAAGGAAGGCAGATTCGAGAGGCACCAAAGAGGAAAAATGAGAAAAGTGAGGGAAAGCATCTAGAATGACGTGTAGCTTTGGGGAGAGGCATCATGTGGGTAATGTTCACATTAACTCAGAGAGAACATGAGTGAAACAAGTTTGGATGGGGAGGATGACGGGTTCAGGGTTAGGAATGTTAAGGATGAGATTGCTAGGAGATACACCAGTGGAGATGCCTGATAGAAGTTGGCACAACGTTTGTAGTTCATGAGCAAGGTCTAGGGGGGACCTGGAGTCACCAGCATCAAGTACCAGTTGAGAATGTGGAAAAGATCCCCGAAGAGAAAGCCAAAGATCCAGTTGCAGAGAATACACTGGCTAAACACATTTCATAAGGAAAAAAACTAAAAGCGAATAGAGCAAGGAGAAACACAGAAAGAGAGGGAGTCCTAGAAGCCAAAGAGAAGCTTCTAGAAAGCCAAATGCCAGAAAAACCTGAAAAGAGCTCTAAAATTTGGCAATTAAGAGGTCCCTAAGTGGGGTGCCTAGGTGGCTCAGTCAGTTGAGTGTTTGACTCTTAATTTCAGCTCAGGTCATGATCTCATGGTTTGTGAGTTTGAGCCCCATGTTGGGCTTTGCGCTGACAGTGCGGAGCCTGCTTGGGATTCTTTTCCCCCCCTCCGGCCCCCCCCCCCCCCCCCCCCCCCCTGCTCCTCCCTTGCTTGTGCTTTCTCTCAAAATAAATAAACTAAAAAAAAAAAAAAACAAAAAAAGGTCCCTAAGTGACTTTGGTGAGGCCTTTCAAGAAGTAGAAGTGAGACCACAGAATAAACAAGAGAGGTGAAAAAATGTTACTAAAACCTCCAAATATTTTAATCCAGTTTTGGTTAAAATTTGAAGGAAATAGTAAGTAACACACTGAGATGGAAATCTTTGAGGGATAAAGGCTGACACAGGTGCTTTTACGAATGACTATACTGAGCTTGTATTACTTCTTCTTTTGAAACAAAAGAGAAAGATATATAGTATTAATAAATGTTATCACAAAGACATAAAGAAGAGAAAGCTATGCACATGGAGTACAGACTATGTATAAATTAATATTTATAGAAGAATAAATACACATTTCTTGTCATGTGGTTTTTGTTCAGTTTACTGAAAAGGACAGAGAGCTTTGTGGGCATAGGCAGTCTTTAACAGTTACTTTCCATGGACTACAGCCTGTGATCTTAGGACTGAATATGTTTGCTGTGAGAAGCTGTTGGAATGTTTGTCACCGGAAATTGAACTAGCTTCCCACCAATGTGATGATTAACCCATGGC